GCCCCTTGCGTCACTCACTGTCCCCAGCGTCGCGCCCCCGCCGGGATTACACGCTTGGCCCCGCTCTGCCTCTCGGGCCGCGACCTCCGAGCACCAGACAGGTAGGGCCCGAGTTGGGTCTCGCTGGGAAGGGAGAGCCTCCCGCCTCGCCCGTCGGGGCGCTGATCTCTGGCGTCGAGTGAAGCTGTGAAGCGCCAGCGCCGGTTCCCCGGCTCCAGGATTGCGAGGGGCAGGCTCCTTCCCTCTAGAGGGGCCAGTCCCTAGGTCAGGAGGTCCAGCCTCTTCCTAGACCTAGACAGGCTCCCTCCCCAGAGCGGGGGTAACTCCCGAGTGAGGGGCGCCCTCCCTAGAGAGGCGCTGGCCTTCTAGAGAAGTGCTCCCCACTAGAGGAAAAAGGGAGCCCGCTCCCTAGAGAAAAGACCCCCTTAGACTGAGGCTCACTCCCCGGGAGGGAGGAGGGAGTCCTCCTCTCTAAAGAGTGGGTTTCTTCCCTGACCGGTTTGGCTCAGTGGTTAGAGCATTGGCCTGCGGACTGAAAGGTCCCAGGTTCGATTCCGGTCAAGGGCATGTACCTTGGTTGCAGGCACATCCCCAGTAGGGGGTGTGCAGGAGGCAGCTGATTGATGTTTCTCCCGCATCCATGTTTCTAAATCTTTCTCCCTCTCCCTTCCTCTCTGTAAAAAAAATCAATAAAATATATTTTTTTAAAAAAAGAGTGGGTTTCTCCCTACAGCCAGCATGTCAGACTCCAAGGCTAACACAGGCTAAATAAACAAGGTTTAAGTATGTGGCCGCAAAAAAACAAAAGCTTCAATTTTCATAGAAACGTAGGTTTATTTCGATAGAGACATGCTGAATACAAAGGGCTGAAATAAATGAGTCATCGTTAACATAAAATAATAGAACATTTTAATAAAAATTAATATTTTGTCTTGAACATTAACTTACCAGACACTGAATAACTGCACAAATTAATAAGCGTAACACCAATAAACGTATTTTTCTTGTGCTCTGAAAGCGAAATATTTCCTGTTGCACACACCAAACAGGTCAGTCCAAGACTCATGATGTGGCCATCTGCTGCTAAAATATTCGCTGTTAATATTAGTGGAGAGAAATGGTGCATCTGTGTGTAAGGTGTGTAAGGAAAACGAATGCAACACGATGATAGTAGTCAGTCATTAGCGAACGTTGTAGTTTGTTATTAATAATTATGTATAACAGGGTATTATAAAAATTAAGTGACAAAATTTTTATTAAAACGTTTCTTACATACTGGCTTGGCTGTATGTAAAACGTTTATTTAAACGTTTCTTACCTATTGGCTGGGCTGCAAAACTATTCATTGCGGCCCGTGGGCTGTGAGTCTGACATGCTTGCCCTAGAGAGTGGCAAGGAGCCTCCTCCCTAGAAAGAAGCTCCCTATATCAAGAGGTGGAGTGGCCCCATTTACTAGGGACCCCTGAGCTCCCCTAGCTGGGAGCTCCCTCCACTCCCCTCTCTAGGGGGAGCCCTTCTCTAGGGAGGCGGGCTTCTCTATGAAAGGAAGCTCCCCTTCCCTCTATGGAGGAGGCCCCTCTGTGGAAATAGAGCCATTAGAAGGGAGAGCGTTCAATGGGCCCATAGGAACGGACCTCTACAACAAGAGGAAAGGCTCTCCATCCCAGGATTTGTCACACTTCTGCTACACACTCAGCACAGAGACTGGCAGCTAGGACCAGGGATGAGACACATGTCACACCAGCACCAATGTGACAGAGCACCCCAGAACTTCCAGCCAGACTTCACAGTGCACCCCAAGGGCACAAATGCTGCATATCAGAGTGAATGTTTCTGTTAGGTGGCTCAGGAGGTGGCGCAGAGAATAAGGAGAACCAAACCGGTCAGAGAATAGGAAAGGAGAGTTTTATTCTGCGTCCCCGGGAGAAACTCACAAGCCCAAAGGCAGGGCCAGTGAATTCTCGCCAACAGGGAAGGGGGGGCGCTTTGTTTTATACTGCAGTTGGGTGAAGGGCAGGGGCATGAACTGAGGAAGTTCCCGCCGCAGGGGGTCAGCAGGGTATTCAGGTGTCAGTATCTGTGTGGGGGTCGTTGTGGATACCAGGAAGGAGCCCTTATCTGTGTCTAGCAGGCTGATCTGTTAGAAATTCCAGGGAGGGTCCATTATCTCATCACACACCTGTTATGCATCTGATCCTGGGCTCCCTCCGACCTAACATCTCCACCTTTTAGTGATAGGGGACGCGGATTCATTCTGACTACTTCCAGCTGACCAGGGATGACGAAGGGGGGTTTTAAAGGCCAGGGTCAGGCAGAGGCAGTTGGAGGGCAGCTGAGTGTAGGGATGGAGCAGGAACTAATTCACAGTCACCTGTGACATCTCCACTATCCAGGAGCAGATGAACTTGAGGAGGCAGGGGGCTAGGAGAAAAAAGACACAGAGAATCGGGGGCCCTATCACGGGTAGGACCCAGGTAGCTAAGGGGCTTTGGAACCAGTCGAAAAGAGAGTTGTTTCCGGAGTGTCTTGTATGTAGTTCTTCACTCAGCTTAGTCAGGATCTGCACGTTTTGCTCCACTACTCTGGACTCGTTGATGTAGTGGCAGCATTCTTCCCGAAGGAATATGCAGGTTCCTCCTCTTTCTGCAGTCAGAAGGTGTAAGGCAGGGGTCCTCAAACTACAGCCCGCGGGCCACATGCAAATACAAATATTGTATTTGTTCCCGTTTTGTTTGTTTACTTCAAAATAAGATATGTACAGTGTGCATAGGAATTTGTTCATAGTTTTTTTTTTAAACTATAGTCCGGCCCTCCAACGGTCTGAGGGACAGTGAACTGCCCCCCTGTTTAAAAAGTTTGAGGACCCCTGTCTAAGGCGTGCTTGTTCTGTAGGGCTACCTGGACTATTGATGTCGCTTGCTGCTGTAGGGAGGCTAAAAGAGGCGGTAGTAGACTCCAGGGCTAACTGGAGCTTGTCATTAAAGTCCTGAGCAGTGACCAGACTATTCCCGAGGGCCCCCCAGTGAGGCCTACCGAGGCAGCGATACTCACCCCTAACATGACAGGGAGGAAGGCAGCCCCGCGGGTCTGGGGGTGGGATGGAAGGAGCAGCCAGGCGAGCTCCGACACTCCATACAAGGTTAGTTGAGGAACTACTGTGACCACGAAGCAAGGCCCAGGGTCAGAGGAGTTTATGCAGTTGCTTAAGGTGCTGTTGCATCAGAAGAAGGTACCTGGGCCAGCCTTGGTGTACTGGCTGCGGTGTGGTTTTGAGTACAGTTCCAAGTGACTCGTCCCCCAGTTACCGGATTACTGGTCTGGTAGCATATCCGTGGGGGCAGGGTGGGCTCTGGAGTTTTGGGTTCCCAAAGAGAAAAAGAGGGGGGCTACCCCTGACCTCATTATAGTCATCATGGATGACACAGTCTCTCCAGTGGCAACCCCCATAGGTGTTGACACCTTGATTACACCTGTCTGGGTTCCGCTGGTCATAAGCAAAACAGACATAGGGTTGGCCACCATTGGCCACTGACCAGATGTTGACAGCCATCAGGATCTTTGTCTGGCATCCGACTAGAGGGTAGTCCGGAGAGCCTATCTGCTGGGTGACTTGTTTGCCATCTGGTAGTAGGCCCACAGACCTTGAACCTCCACACATAAGTGGGTGGGGGTGGGTGTAGGTTGCTCTGGGCCAGGAGGAGAAGGAGGAGGGGGAGGGCGACCAAGGTGGACCTTAGTGGGGCCCAATACCTCACATTTATAGAAGTCATGCTGCTCCGGGGTCCTCTTGAGTCTGGAGAGGTGGTGCCAAGTAGTGTCGTCAAGCTGGGGTCGCCAAGCAGCTTGGCCGCAGTGGGGGCTGTGAGGATTACAGTGTGAAGTCCTGTCCACCTAAGCTCCAAGGCTTGTGGTTGTAGGTTCTTAAGGAGGACCGAGTCACCAGGGTGAAGGGCTGGTCTTGGGAGTCCTGGTCGGTCGGCTCTGGCTTGGGCAGAAACCTGTTCTCGTGTTCTCAGAGCAATTGCCTGGTTAAAGACAGATATGGGATATATGTACCCAGGGGAGGGGGATTGGTAAGGAGATGGTGGTTGAGTAAGAAGAGTCAAAAGGGCTCAAGAAAGTGGGGCTCCTTGGTGTAGCCGGAGTTTGGTCGGGGCCATGGGCAGGAGGTCCGGCCAGGAGCTGCGAATTTCTAGAGAGAGTTTAGTTAGATGGCCCAATAGGTTGGAATTGAGTGGCTATGATGAGGGTTCGAGTCAGTGACAGACAAATCCAGCAGGATGTAGAGGAGGAGGGATTGATGTTAGAGAGTAGATGGAAAGTTGTGTTGATGATGGTGGGCATAAAAGTAGGTTCAGGGTTCGGAAATAGAGAGTGACACCAGAGGATTTCCCATCCCAGACAGTAGAATTGATAACTCCCTCATCATTCCATGTCCGTTTCACCTGAAAATATTAAAAACCTGAGTTTCTTCCGGAGTAAAAATTGGAGGGTCCCTTACCAGGTAAGAGCCTGTGAGGAATGATGGGTCATCAGGTCCTGGATGGTGTCGCCGAATCTTCTTCAGGGATGGTGGGAGGCATTTGGTGAGCCTGAGAGAGGTAGGTATTGCAGTGAAAGTGGAAGGGAATGTTAGAATGCGCTGTTATCCAAGGGGAAAGAGAAAGGGAAGGAGCAGTGGAAGT